TGTCAAGAATAGGCATAAATTAAAGAACAACAATGCGAAACAAATTATGTATGGACAAGAAGAATAGAATGGAAAGCTCATATTGCTCTTGCAGACATTAGATATAGAAAACAAAAGGATTTTAAGATAAAAGAAAAAATTTTACCGTGTTGAATTTTAAGATGGTGCCCTGATAAATCTCTAGTTTATCTTGTTTTTATAGATTAAATTAATATAAATTATCAAGTTGAATAATTCAAAAACTATGGTTTTGACATAAAATCATGAACATTATCTGATTATGAATTAAATAAATTATATTTGCTATTTTGAAGGGATTTGATGATAAATAGAGTCAAATGTGAAGATATGATAGATGAAGATCAAAACTAGAAGATATGAGGATCTATCCAAAGAAAATCAAGACCATCAAGTTGTTGAATATGGAGCTTAAGCCCCCAAAATATTCCAAAAATCAGCAAATAGCCCCTGCCTTTGGGCGCTTAAGCCCCCAACTCAGGGCTTACGCGCGAGCCAAGAAGAAAGTTCAGACTCGAAGAGCGCGCTTAAGCGCGCCATATTAATTTTCCATGCAATTCTCAGCAGGCTTAAGCGCGCCCAAGCAAGCTTAAGCGCGAACGTTAATTCTGCATTCGTAAATGAGCAAGCTTAAGCGCCCCGAAAAACCCAACTTAAGCCCACTTGAAGTATCCACATAGGGCACGAATTCTTTACCCTTAAAAACATATTTGGGGTCAGAATTAAGAAGTTTTTCACATTCAAAAAGAGTTCTTGGTACTCGGAGGCAGAAGGAACGCTCGGTTCATGTTTGTGAGCGGCGGAGACGGATCAACATCAAGGCTGCACTGGGGATATTGAAGATTCACCAATCATCTATGGAGTTTGGGGAAGCTTTATTATTTTCTTTCGTTCTTGATATTGTTATGTCTTGCTAGTTCTTTTAGTAGTTACGGTTAGATGGAATTCAAGATCTTTATTATGCTTTGAACAATTCATTATGTTAATTTTTCTTTTTATCATGAATAAATTTATCTGTTTTTAATGCTTTATATGAGCTTGAATCTTGTATATTGATCTTAGGTAAATGCATGACAATAGGAATATTGGTGTGTGATCCATATCTGGTAATTTCATCGTAAATTTTATGATTCTAGGGATAGACATATGGTTTGCGTAATCTTTATGATTCTTGAACTTAATACTTACCTTCTTGGGGAATAACCGGGGAACTAGGGTTCTTGCAAGATTGTAAAGGTTTAGGGTAACAAGGAATTGAGCCCTAATTACATAAGAAAATTGGTTAGATTGATATTAAGGACGATTAACGTAAAGAAGGAATTCAAACGTAATAGAGAGATTGAAGGAAATCAAAACCCTAGCTACGTTCTTTTATATTAGTTAAATCAAATCTTTAAATTCTTGCTTTTAATTCTTGCGATTAATTAGTTTTAATATTTAAATTTCAATTCAAATCTTGTTTCAAATACAATTTCGCTTGTCCAACTTAAGTTGCAATAGTGAATTAGTGCTTGAGTATAATCCTCGTGGGAATGATCTCTCATTCAATCATTATATTACTTGTACGATTGGTGCAATTGCCGTGAGTAACCCAACATGCCCAAAGAGCACAGATAACACACAGGAGAAAAAAAGACAGAACTTGCCAAAAGGATGGGATGATCCACGCATTATGCCTCTGCTCATTGTATACTTTTGTTTATTTGTTGCAGCTTTTAGATCTTTCCAAAGAAGGCTAAAGACAAATTTTTAGTCATTTAAAAGTTAAGACATTTTATTATATCATCTCATTCATAATATTAGATTATGGAGAAAATACTTATAGAAGAAAAGCAGACAAAGAAGAATGGCATACCTTCCTTTGAGGAAGTACAAAAGCACATATCCCAGTGATTCCCAATCATCCCGTCAGCTTTGTTCTACAACAAAGCTGCAAATATATATATATATATATATATATATATATATATATATATATATATTACAAGTTCATGTAATAGAACAACAAATTGAGAAGATGAAGAAGATAAATAGACATATAAGAGAAGAAATATGTGCACAGAAGCTAATTACTAAATGAAAAAAACCCAATAACACATATCCTATTTATACACAGAATATTTTCATTTTTTTACAAAATATTTTCATTTTTTTAATGATTATTTTTTAACAAAATAATTTTTTTTTATGCAGCATTAATATGGTTAACTATTACCCATGTAGAAAGTAATGGGATAATAAATGAGTTGTCTGCAACCAATAATTATTCAAATGTTTTTCCACCCTTTAAAATTCAAATTTCAATTTCAATTTCAAAATTCAAATTCAATTTCAAAATTCAAAATTCAAATTCAAAATTGAAATTTAAACATAAATTCAAAATTTAAAAGAAATATTTCAGAAAGCAATGAGTTATTATTAATTTGGAAATTCCAATGTAGAAAGTAGTGAGATATTAAATGAGCTGTCTGCCACAAAAAATTGTTCACATAATTTTCCATTTAATTTATTTCCAAATTTTGAATTTATTTTATATTTTTTAATTTTAACTATTTACTAAAGAAGGAAAGCTTTCAAATGACATATAGTGTGAACACAAATATGAGAATGAAGGAGGGAGTGACACATCATCAAAGTTTCCAAAGAATGGGTTTCCTTTAAATTTATATATATAGATTTTTGAAAAATCTTTAGGAACATGTCTCTATCCTCGAATGGAGGATTAATCTCATCTTTCCTCCATTAGTCTTCGCCTCTTTTGGGCCATACTCAAAAGATAAGGTGACAAAATAAAAAAGAAAAAATATTATTATAATATAAATCTGATCCTTTTATGCATTTACTTTGTTGGTCAAATAAATAACAAGAAAAAAAAATAAAGGGACCCAACTGGAGAGTTTCCATCAGTCTACGAAAACCAGTTTAAAATAATATACATTATGCATTGAGGATACAATATAATTTTAAAATATAAAAATTTCTCAATCACATAAGAGAAAATATAATTGATTTCATTTTAATTCATTATTGTTATTATTATTAATGTGCGTTGCCAATTTTAATATAATAATCAAATTTAAACTCATTTGTTACCAAGCAATGCTAAGCTATGTCAATTAAAAAGAATACCTACTCAATTGACAACTGATCAGATTTAAATTTTGGCTAAAGCAAATTTTGGAATTCTTGAAGTAAATTATCTCTCTTGAAGGGGTGTTTGGTACGAAGGATCTGATAAGATTTTTGGGAAAGTATTGTAGGTAAAATATTTACCATGTTTGATATGGGTTAAATTTAACAAATACCGGTGTATTATTTTGCCTATGAAAATCATTTTGTACTAGACTTTGGAAAAAAAAATACATTTTTAACCATGGTATTGTTTTAATCTTGCCAACGGACAGATCCTGATTTCAATTTTAAGACCAAAGTGATCTCGAAAAGTATGATTTGACGACTTGTCTGAAACACCACAGGGATCTATTATCGTAATTTTGTAATTTTAAGACCAAAATGCCATGTGCTGACTGTGCTTCAATATTTGAACATAATGGGTAATTTCATAATTTTACTACACATTCTCATCAATATTTTACCATTAATTAAACATAGTATTAGTAAAAATAATCCAACTTTTTTAGAAAAATTGGCACCTTTTTGTAACTTACCCCGTCAAACAAATTTCCCACCATATTTTAAGATTTTTTTTTTTAATAATAAAAAATTCCTCTCATATCAAATACCGATAAAGGGAATTAATCTTTATCATCTCTCTAATTGTGTGCGGATTATTTAGCCCAAGGAACAGAGTTTTTGTATGTTTTATGTAATTGAAATCGAACACGTATTGATTATATGGAAACATCCAGAGAGTAACCATGAAACCAGGAGCACATCTTTAGCGCTAGTGTAGTATGTATTCCTTTACTAAAAGTAGAAAAAAATTATAATTTTGAAGAAAATAATCATACAAAGAAGGATAAAATAGTAAAAAATATATATTATATTTTCCAAAATAAGTAAATAATGTATCGAGTCTTCAGTACTACTGTAGTATAGAAGATATTTCCTGAAACCAGAGACTTGACAGCATGATCTGAAGTCTCCGGATAAGTCCAATAATGCACTTAAACCATTTGTTCATTTTATTTAAGGGCAATATTACTTTTATGTAACAGAAAATTTTTGTTATCTCTTAGGCTATTTGACCATTTTGCCCCTCATTAATTAATTAATAATCATTTTTCTCCTGATTCGAAACTATCTATCAATATGTCCCTCTTTAATCGACTACTTTGAATGTTTAATCGACTAAATGGTTGTTGGGAGATTTAATCGACTAAATCTCCTTACTTAATCGATTAAAATCATACTGACTTATTTTTTTTTATCAAATACGGAGATTTAGTCGACTAAATAGGGAGATTTAGTCGACTAAATCTCCCAACATCTATTTTTTGTCTGTTTTGGCCATTTAGTCGATTAAAAATGCAAGGTAGTCGATTAAAGAGAGGCAGATTGATAAATAATTTCGAATCAGGAGCAAAATAGTTATTAATTAATTAATAAGGAGTAAAAGGGTGAAAAAGCCTATCTCTTATTCATACATTGATATATCTGTCATTTTTTTTTTCTCTTTCCTAATGGGCTCCACTTTAAGTTAACTGTGCATGAGATAATTTTTTTTTGGTGTGACACGAGAATACAATTATCCTTTATTTAATTTTTTTTGGTGTGAGGCAGTTATGATTTTAGTTTCCATTTCTCCAATAAGATTACGAAAGGTTAAGCATAAAAATTATCTCGTTTTACTAGAAAATAGTTATAAAAATTGAAAATATAAAACTGACAGAGAGATTAATATCAATATCATTAACATGAAGGCCAAAAGTACAGGGTAGGAAAAAGTTGAAACATGTGAGTCCCACAGCAAAACACATCCAACAAGTAACAACTAATACTAAGGCCAAAAAAAAAAGATTTCAAGAAGCAAAGTCATTCACAACATCATGTATCTTTCTTTCCAACACTTCTGAACAAATCTGCCCCATGGTGTGGTAGAAAGACATGAGATCTGACAATTGCTCCACTGACATTTTTCCCATAACATTTCTAGCCATTTTTTCTCTTTCCTCATTCAGCTTCAATCTCTCTATGTATGACCCTGCATTTCTAACTGTTGCTCCCATTTGCTTTAACCGTTTCTCTTGCTGCACACTCAAAGCTGTGTTTGACTGCAAATTCAAACACATATTGTTAATACAAATAAAAATATGTCATATTTCTATGCTTAGATAAGTGAAACCACAAATTTGTTTATCACATATTTTATACTGAAAATTTAAATAATTGTTAATTGTATGCTGTTTAGTACCTCAAGAAATTCAGCCCCAGCTTCAAGTTCAGATTCTTTGGAAGAACAATTCCCACGGCCCATTGTGTATAGGTTTTTCGCTAGTGAAAAGCTACGCACTATGATTTTCCTTTTATTCTCCATTTCCCTGTTAAGCTTAAGAGGCTTTTGAATATATGTTAAACTATTCAGCCTTTTCTGATAAGCAATTACTGCTTTTACAAATTCCTGCACAATTTAAATGCAATATATTAGCTAAATCAGTCAATGAAACACGGATTACAATATCATAAAATTATTCTCTTAATTATAGATTAAAAGTAACCATTTTTCAAACCTTATAAGCAAAAGGGCATCCTGGGTAATCAAATTCATCTGAATTCAGCTTTCTCATACGCTCTGGGTGAAATTGCAATCCCATAATAAACTTGCCCTCTTCTGGATTATAAGCATCAGGGTCATAAAACCCTTCAATCAAGCCATCAGAGGCAAATGCCATTGGGACAAAACGTTGTGCCAATCTCTTGACACCTTGATGGTGATAGCTATTAACTGAAATCTCCATTTTCCCTTCTTCCAATGAATCCTTTAACCAATGATGCAAAGGGGTGTTTTTGACAACCTTAACAGCATGTCTATGACCGTCATAATCATCATAGTTTATATGCATCACTCTTTGGTTTTCAGGGCAATTTTTTGAAAGCTCTTTTCCTATGTCCTGATAAAGGGTACCCCCACATGCAACATTCAGAACTTGTGAACCTCTGCATATTCCCATGTAAGGAATGTTCCTTTCGAGACAAAGCTTGGCGAGGCTCAACTCAATTGAGTCTTTCTCTTTGTCAATGGATGTATCACTCGCATGAAGCCTTCTGATTTCATCCAACTCCTCCTGAGAAAGACATGTGTTATCTTGTTCGTACCATGAAGGGTCAATGTCTTCTCCTTCACATAGAAGGACACCATGGATTGGTTCGAAGCTATTCAACAACATATGCACCCCTGAGACACGAGGAACAATAACAGGAACTGCACCATAGCTTACTATAAGATCAAGGTGATATTCCCCTGAAAAGAAAAATCATATATATAAGAACAAGTTAATTGGTTAAGTGGATTAATGAACCATGACATGATTGGAAATAATTATATTACATTAAGCAATAAATTGATGGAACAAAAAACTTACCAACGAAATCAACGAACTTGTTCTTTCGAACGGTTCGTCTAGAAACGATTAGAACACGAGGAAGAATGACTGAGATATCGGAAGACATGATATGATTGATTAATAATGTGTTTGCTTTCTCAAAATTTAATGATTTTGACGAACGAAATTTAAAGCTTGTAATATTCTAGTGGATTCCTTTGCTTATATTTATAGGGGTGAGGTGAAAATAATTTTGACTTTAGAATTATTATTTTAAATTATAATTATTTTCCCAGGAGAGACAAACTGGCTAATTGTTTATTATTTTTAAAAATGATAAATAGTTTCAAATATATTAAAATTTGAAACAACTTTATCCTATGAGTCACGTGCAATGAATGGGTTCAAGTTCAACGTGTGGTACGAGCTAATTTTATTTAATTTAGTCATACTACGTAAGTTTCACGAGTACGTGTTTTCTTTGTTTAGTAGAAGAGTTGTGTAATTTTAAAATATCCTATTCATAATTTTTTAATTATTGTTTAATAAAATATAATAAATTAAAGGGATACATTATTCTACCTTTATCATTTTTCTATCATATTGAAATTCTGATTTAATAATGTTGAAGAACGGTAAAGATAAAATAACTTATTTCTAAATTAAAAATGTAAATATAGTTAGTAGTTAAGAGGCAAAATGTTTATAAAAAAAAAAGGCATAAAAAGTATTTATTTATTTTTTTAGTTTGGAGGATTTATAATTAAGATAGGTACGTGAAACGCGGGTCAGAGGCTGAGAATATGGGATTTAGATATACACGCAAAGAATGGGGGAGAAAATGCGGGTTTCATTTGGTGTAGCACTCATCTTAGTTATAGGAAGAATTGAGACAGAGAAAAGTTTATTTTATTTTTTTTAATAAAGAAAATGCTTGATTTATTTATTGGGATTTGAGTACAGTTAATGTTTTCAGGAAGTGCCAAAAGACCAACAAGGTTGACCATTTATCTGTTCCCATATTAGAATTACAATTCGAAATATATCTCTTGGCTCTTGCTACGTCACTGTCTACGGCTCTACGCAATAACTTGATCCAATCTCTAATAATTTACATATTTAAATGATGGAAATTAAATATCTGATATGTGATATAATATCTTCATATTATATGAGAGAATTTCTACCGTTTATATAAAAAAAATCAACTGCATGTGAACTGTGATGTTGTGTGGCAAATTATGGTAACTTTTGGCTAATCATCCTCATGCACCGGCCAAAACTAAAAAAGATTGATTAGATAAAAGAAAGCCATTGACTACATAATATAGTACACAAAGAATAATAAATTTTTTTTTTATACAAGAATAATAATTTATTTGATCATTGAATTGTACCCACGTTTAAAATATTTCCGAGCACTCAATTTGTGTTTCTTAATTGTCATATTTATATTCAGATTATGTATGTCATAATAAAAACTAAAAAATAGTTAAAAATGTGCATGGTTACGGATAAGATTTGATCGAGTTTATTTAGTTAGGATAGGTTGAGAGAAAATTTTATTAATCGAAATCAACTAATTCAAATCATAGTGGGATTGGTTCAGTCTAATGATTTTGTTGATCTTTTTAAAAGTATTGTTGAAACAACGTGGTTTTATATTTAAATATTTTTAAAAATCATTACAATGACATTGTTTTTGTATTAAAAATATTTAAATATATATAAAATTAAGGTTATAAGGTCAATTCAAGTTTGATGAGCTGAAGAAATAAAAATCCAGTAGTCCAACCCATCGTTTATTTGAGTTAATTCATGCTGAATTAAAAGCATATAAATTTGTTCAGTTGGATTGATTGAACGATTGGGTCAAATTAAACGTATGATCACCCTAATTATCACTAACATGGAATGAACTGATGCCTTCAAAGCTTGGATAGTATAATTATTAATTATCATTGTCCAAAAGGCTATTCACACTATGCGAACCATAAAAGGTAGGAAAATAGTTTCATATCTTTTAAAATTGGCCTTGAGAAAAAAAAAAAAAAAAAAAACCTATCATAAATTTCAAAATGGAGTTTCGGAAATTCTTATTAATAAAATATAGCACTATAATAAATCTTCCACTATGTAGATTATGTGGAATTAATGACGAAGGTACTCATGACTTTAACCTTAATATCTAGAATTAAATATCAGGCAGGGATATATATCCTCTTTCCATCTCAATCTCCTCATTTGTATTTTAAAGATCTAAATTCCTTTTGTAATTGAGTTAAAAAATGAAGTACCATTCCCCCTTCTAAAAATTCAAAGCCCACAACACACGCGTAAAGAGTTTATGAGAATTCGGATATTTTTCGACAAAAACTTGAATCAGTGCAGAAGGGAATTCATCTCGGCAACTCGAAAGCTCAGATAACCTAAAAATAGTGATAAAACAAGGTATAATAAAAGGGTTCATTTTTTATGCAGTAGATGCAGATAAATTATCTGCATTGAGCTCAAAACAATGTTATTTTGGGGACGAAAATCAAAGTATTTTTGTAATTTTAAATATTTCAAGATTATAATAATCTTTATAATTATAATTTTTTAATATTTCAACGGCAAAATAATATCATTTTAAGAGTAAATGCAGATAATTTATCTGCCATAACGGTTGAAACATTTTTCTGATAATAAAATAATAAAAAAGGTAGGGTAGAACAAAACTCCCAAAATAATGGTATGGAGATGCATGGGTTCATTTAGGACGGTGGTACACAGGGAAGGTTGAAGGCAGAGAGGTAGTGGGGCAGTGTGCATGAACCAGTGCTGAAAACATTGCAGAAACAGCTGTGATTACTAGATTCCGGGAAAAGGAAAATTATGTTAAAAGTAGCTAACACTATATCACTAACACTGCATGCATGCATTCCTAGACAAAAATGAGTAATGGTTTGAGAAAGGCATTATTTGGGATGGAGTTACTCAGGGGAGGTTTTAACTTTGAAGGGGCAATGCTGTTTTTAGTGCTTCAGACACAGTTGACTTGACAATATTAGTAATAGTGACTATATATTAGGAACCGCCATGGGGTATGTAGTAACTGCCACCTACTGGCTGGCCTATGTGTGTGAATGTCCTAGGCTGTCATATAAACTAGTATAGGCAAAAAAAAATTAATTTATTATTTTTTTAATAAAAAATTATGAATAAGTAATCGTTTTGCAAAATATTACGAATCTATAGCATCCAAACACGCTTACATGGGGCGTGTTCTCATGGAGAGAGACACGCCCATGTGGGGCGTGAGCTACTGAAGGGGGCGTGAGTGGCAGGAAAGAGACACGCCTCTTATGGGGCGTGATCTGTGATGGTAGACACGCCCAACATAGGCGTGTTCCACTGGAAGGTCACGCCCAATCTGGGCGTGAGTGACTAAACTGCAGTCTATTTAAACACCCACCCCCCTCACACTCTTCACAACTCTCTCATTGTTATGCTTAAACTCTCTGATAGTTTGCACTTGTTTACTCATATTTTGTTTTATCTTTTTAAATTTTGATTTTAAAAATGAATGCGAATTCTGATACTATTCGTGTTGTTCTATATTTTAACGGTAGGAAATAAGAAGGTCGTCGTGGTGTTATTTTTGTAGGGGAGAAAAGACCATCACGTATTAAACGGAACTCAACGGTTGCTGAGCTGCATCAGAAAATACGTCAGCGATAGCACAGTACACAATAACAACAGTCCCAAAAATACAGTCAATACATCAGTCCATCTAACTAAACGAAAACATGAAATAAAACCACGACCAACGAGGCCATGGCCTATCACGTGCCTGACGTGGGGGTAATCGACGCTTAGACTGAGCCTCTATAGCCTGTGCAAATGCGTCAAGAGAGGGCTCCTCGTCGTCAACCGCCTCTGGAACATGAGCTGGTGGAGTAGTGCAAGACATGCCAGGTCCTGAGGCAACATATCCACTGCTCGCAGATGGTATAAAATCATGTTGTGCAGTAACTGGCTGCATGTGCGGTGAAGTCGATGACAAAGGGTCATCGGGCACATGATGTGAAGGTGGAGGAGCAACGGGTACATGTGTAGGCCAATCGCCTACTCCGTCTGTGGTCAAGTCCAAGGTCTGATTCCACTCCGTTACGTCTTCCATATTCCACATACGGTAATTTAATTAAGTAATTTAAAAATTACATACCTGAATATGACTCATATGTGCCACGTGTATGTACCCAGCCTGTGTCAAATAGTCAGCGACAACGTCTGGTATATCATCATGATGGGGTCCCCCCTGAAGTTTCCCTCGCCTCGTCTTTAACCCCCTGACCTTATCCTCGTTCCACACAACTTGTGAAACGTGACTGCGATGTGTCCTCTTACGGAGTACCTCCCACCTATATGGGCCAAGAAGTACATGCGTACAAGGATCGAATGGCTCAAGATCACCATCGGATCCAGAGCGCGAGGACTCTGATGAAAACGAATAGGCCATAATAGAATACTACTACAAATGAAAAAGATGTACCCAAATTACTATTGATATTATATTAATTTACACTAAATAAAATTTAATTGCACTTAATTAAATAGCATTTAACTAACTTCAATTGTTATATTAATTTCAATTAAATTAACATCATTGACAATTAATTCATTTAACATTACATTATTCTAAAAATATATTTCAATGCATTAAATAATTCAAATTCAATTTAAATTAATATTGCATACGATATTCTTTTTTTACAAACCCTAATTATAATGAGGTTAATTGAAAGGTCAATATGTTTGCAAGTGTCATTCATAAAAAAATATTTATTGTCACAAACTAATTTCTAAGTGTGTAAATAAGTCATAAAACCAACATATACCAATTTAGAAGTAACTAATTAATTTTTAAGTTCATATCTAATACCTAAGTCACATAACAATTCTCTTACATAGGTCACTAATATTTTTCTAACCCCCTAACAATTAAATAAAGTCACAAATATTTTTCTAACCCCCTAACAATTATCTAAGTCACTAATAACTATCATATATTAATTGCTGTTAATAAAAAAAATAAACAATAAATAAGGACTTACATGAGAGAGAGAGCTTCGCTGCGCAAAACCCTCCAAAAGAAAT